ATCAGCGTGATGGATGGACGGCCAGGCAGCTGCTGAAATCCCCTGATCAACGGCCAGCCTGATATGCCACTCACTGATCAATTGCATCCACGTAGATTTTCGCCATCCGCTTTAATGTGACATGATAAGGAAGGAGAAACCTCACAGGACCGTGCCCCTTTGACCTCCAGTCGTACACCAATTTACAACGACTGGCCAGGTTATTTCCGCTGATGTTTTCCCCCGAAACATAATCTACCTTTCATCGTGTCCCGCGGCTATTACCCCGAAAAGACGAATGCCTGTGCCGGTGAGAGGAACGGCGTGAATGAAAAAGAAATATTCATCGGGCGATCTGCAACTAAGATAGTGTAAGACCTCGGCAGCCCCATCAGAAGTCCCTGGCAACAGATCTGAGGCAAGTACTGTCCAAACATTTCAACGGCCAAACTGTTGCGGGGATTTATTACATTTGATTTTAAGCAACCAGCTGCTGAGGTGAGGTAGATAAAGCTTATTGTCAGGATGCCAGTCACTCAAGGTGAGTGCTTGACCTTCCTTGTGTCCCCTGTAAAAGAAACTGGCCCATGCACACGTTTCTTTTAAGAGGAATCAGTATACCATTAAGGCTCAATGTGGTGCCATAATGAATCGTGCAGTATTGATCCAGTCTGTTATTGACATTCATTACTAATGCATCATTTGCGTTTAGGAATGGCAAAACCAAATACTAAACAAGGCAATCCCAAATATCAAAGTATTCTAGATCCTCAATATTTTCTTTTACAATATATATTAAATTGATGATATTTCATGAAATACTGGTTCTTTCACGGTCAATTAGGCGCCCCAATTTGGACCACTTAGCTGCAATTTAGCCTTTTGGATGAGTGAAAAACCCACACAGAGTATATCATGTAGATACTGTATAAATACCAAAATCCCAGACAATATCTAGTCCCTTATCGCACCGCCAAGCTTTACTTGTTTTGGGGTAAAAATAAAACAGTAAGTAGAGCATACAGAGGAGTACAGTTTTTCGCTATCAGTGCTGTGTAGTAAGCCTCGCTGTATTGCCATCTTCTGAGCACTGTTACTGCATAATGTATATCCTGACAGGGTGATATTGTTTTCTATATCTCTAAGGGCACTGATTATGCTGCCTGGGCATGTTTTGGTTATCAGTGTGCAGTTTCACTTTCCTTTTCACATACTGTCACACAATAATGACAATGGATGAGCTGAAATACCTACAATTGCAATGCAATGCAACATTCTTGAATGTACAAAAGACCTGACTGGAACAGAGATAACCTGCTTTCTTCAAATGCTTGGTCACGTATCTTAGGTTCAATAGTGAATTCTTATTATAAATACCACCCTCAAGGGCTTTTATCTGCACTATGAACGTATTATTCTGTATGCTATTTTGGTCCAATTACAAAAGAAAATGAAACACTTAAATTACCTTGTTTCGATTTTTTTTGTGATTACTTGTCTACACTATGCTCTTAATCAAGACTAGAAGCTAATTGGATGCCTCATAATCAACCTTAGAAGGTCATCAGTTATAAAAGCTGTGTTTTTTCTGCTCTATCTAAATTATCTTTTATCAATAGTAACACGGAAATGCCATAAGATGTACCAACGTTACTGAAAGGAATATCCTGGTGTGCTGCTCTCCGAGTTATCATATGTGTGACTTCATTACTATTAATATAGCAGGTGTGACATTCTGCTTCCTGAACTTTTCTAACCAACTCAAGCAACATAAAGGATTTTAAAAGTGCAGTAATGAAAAAATAAATTAAAATAAATGCATATTACAGAAACGTTGGTTGTCGGCATTATGTCAAGTTAAAAATGGGATCAGGTACGTGTTTTTGTCATTCACATAATAAATGAATCACAGCTGAGCTTTTCAAATAACATTTCTGTCACAGTTTTTTCCAATATGACAGCCTCCAATTCTGCAGCCTTGTCTGAATTCTGAGCAGCATTTAGCTTACAGGAAATTATAGACCACCTTCAGTTCCATTCCACCTACTGTACCACCTGTGGTGAAAATAACCGGCAATTTCACCAACTATTATTCCTCAGAAATATTGAAATATCAATCAAGATTTTCAAAAACTGTTGTCACCGAATGTATAGATATGTTCTTGTAGAGATATTGGTGTCAACATCCGGACTTTCATTCTGTTCTGAAACAAGTAGAACAATGACCTAGATAGGGCTGCTGGTGTCATAACTGACAATAAGGCTCCTAGCTATGACTGGTATTGAATGTGGGATTTACATTTTTGTATTCAAGTATTTTGTTTTCAACATACAAATAATTAAATAACTCAAACTTGCCAAAAGTGTAAAGAGACAAAGATCTCAACAATGACCTTTTTTTTTTTGTCTTCACCATCCAGGGACATAATCCCGGTTTGGCTGTGCAGCTGGCATACAACTGAGTCACGCGTCAGCCCTGATTAGAAGCAGCAGCGGTCCGCGGGCCCCGTTCCTCTGCCAGAGCCAGGAGTGGAAAAGGCCAGGGCCACCACTTTCAGTCTGTGGATATGACCTTGATGGGGTATGATAGAGAGGAAGCGACACAATTCGCTATGGCGCACAATATCTGTAACCTTCCACTACCACAGTACACGCATGCTGAAGCGTGACACACACACACACACACACACACACACACACACACACACACACACACACACACACACACACACACACACACACACACACACACACACACACACACACACCTCCCCCTTCTTGTCTTCTGATCATCCAACCCTCTGTTTATATTTGCTTGTGATTTCCACCAGATATCTGAATATCAAATATGATATTCTTTCCTGCTCAGCAGCTGCCATGCTATTGTTAAAGTCAAACCAGTGTAGCTTTATGAGATAATGGATCAATTAAAATGATTACGCTTTATGAAAAATAACATGATGGACCATGCAGTTCATTTCTGTTAATCAATATACAATTATGTTTAATATTATTTAAAACATTATTAAAAGTAAGAATTGTGTTAGTGCTGTTTTTTCTTTTTTTAAAAGGTAACCCTACCCAAGCCCTTTAATCTCATTGGAAGCAGAAATGGAAACAGATGTCTTGTGAGTCAAACATAGCAACACGAGTGGGGTAAAGATGGCACTGAAGGCACCAAAAATACTTGGTGGTGAGTTAAATCTTGGCAGTGGCATATCCTGTGTCAAAACAGTGCGGATAAGAAAAAAAGATAAGCATGTGAATTATATCACAGAGTGAAAATAAAATTGCAGTGCAACAAGAAGGAAAACAATAAGCCAAGACAGTGACACACCCCGCTGTTGCATTGCTGCCTAAAAACATCACCATAACGACACTATTTGCACACAAAAAAAGTCCTGCATGGCATTGCATAAGCACATTGCTCACATTTTGAGAATAGCAAGCCATGGCTTCCTTGATGTCAATGTGGCGTTCATTTAGGAGCCCAAGTGGCGTACTAAAGAGTGAAACAGCCTTTAAATTAGTCTGTCAGCACTGGATTTAAGATTATAGCCTAACATCTAATGTTTATTAGAGAATGTGCAAGGGATCTGAGATGCAACAATTGTGTTGCTGTCCACAAGTGAGGTGCTGAGAGATATCCAGCAACAGTAACCAAGCAGAGGTTGTCACCTATTACTGCTGAACAGGAAATCTGAGCTAGAAGTGCCCTTGCCTGCTCTGTGAATACAGGCGATTCAATTTCCCTGCTGCGAGAAGTGAGTTACAAAATGTGCTGTTGGAGGAGAATTTACAAAGCAAATAGGTTTACAGGAGGAGGAGCAGTGTGTATGCTAGGCCTAAATGTGCATGGGTGTAGCTCTGAATCCTGGGCACCTCCCCCCATACACTAATTTCCATGTCAAACAACAGAACCAGAAGACAATCCAAACAAACACATCCTTGAATGTATTCAAAGTCAACAATACATGAATGCATGCAATCCAAGTACAATAAACTGTGATTGGGTAAACCTTCTCTATCAACTTTAAATATGCATCAGTGTTAAAATGAGGGTGGAGGACTAACTGAAAAAACATTTTGTATTTTGGAGCTTTAATGTGAACCACCACCTCCTCAGTGGTGGACCCGGCTGAACTGATTATCTGCTGTATGGAGGCATGCAGCTCCCATATAGGCGTGGATACTGGGCTGCAGGTTTTAAGAAACATTATCTTATCACCCAGGTAAGAACCTTTTTTTTTTCCAGCTCAAAACTCCCCCCACCCCTCCTCATAATTTCAAGCATAGGTTGTAATGCCTCCTTTGTTGCAGATGATGTGGCATCTGCTTGACTCAACTACTGTTTCCCTCTCTGTCTCCCTGCTTCCTATCTTTAAACTGCCCAATCCTTTGGCACAGAACATGAAATCCCTCTCAATAATAAATAGGCTACCTCAAGCCTTTTCAGAGACAGGGGGCCTCATGCTGCATGGCTCAAAGACCACCTTAACTTCACTTTTAAATATATGTATATAAAATGAATTCGGCCAAAGCGACATGTGACATCTGGCGTAAGCAAACAAAAGGTGTCTCGTTTCCATATTTCTGCCGGGGCTGCAGCCTTTATTCAGAGGAGAAGGCAGCCCTGTAGGTGCTGTATAGCCCGACCACAGGACATGTCTTCCGGCACGCAATTAAGCGACCTCAACCGTGTTGGATTTGGAGGGCTATACCTCTCCTCCACCCACCTCAACTGACTGTAAACACTGATAACAAAGACATTTGGGTTAAAAGCGTGTTATCTCTAGCTGCATTAAGTGAAATCTACAAAAAAAGACTCCTTAACACAAGTGTCAATAATTGGCGAGCAGCTGCTCCAACATCCCCCGAATTGGAATACAAACAATCCACTGACATTGAAAAACACACACAGATACGGCACGGGCTTATTTTGCCGCTTCCTACAGCAGCACGCGTTAAAGCTAATTATCCAAAAGGTCGTTTGTGTGTAGGAGGTGAGCGGTGTCGTTTACCTGAGCATCATCCAGCGATCCGACACATGGACACGGCGCGATTATTCCAGCCAGGCAAACGCAAGCACAAGAGGAAGGGGTGGTGGGGGGAAAAATCTAAACTGAGCAGAGATGAATGCGGCAGATGAATATGCGACCTCTGTCTTCAGGAAGGATAGTCTTCTTATCTTTTTAGATGGTGTTGTGTCGATGGAGGCAGGCAGGCAGGGAAGCCCCGAGCTTCTCCGTGCAGACAAAGATGCTTTCTCTCCTCCGCCGCACCGAGCAGCACAGCCGTCATTCCCCCGACACTTGATGGTAATAGTTTGGTAGGTAGATTATATGGGTTGAGGGCGCGGTCAGCTGTCGTTGACCAATCCTGCTCCCCACCAAACTAACAGCAGCGTTGCCATGGAGGATTACATGGAGTTTAGTCACAGAAAGGTAACATTTGGTAATGAAACACAGACTATGGTATAATATTGGAATGAGCATTATCAGAGTAGATCAATGGGGAGCAAGTAGTATGAGAGACACATATCCATAGACCCCACCCTACACTCTTGCTGCCGGAGTGTCCTCAAGCAAGGCAGGATACAACAGCTGTTGGATAACAACAACAAAACTAAATTGTATTTGAATATTTAAAATGTTTCTACAATGGAAGTGAACTGTAATTTCCCCAAGTTGTGCCTCCATGATGTTTAGGCTAGAGCCACTTAACATTATAACCTGTCATAGTCTGTCCAATTACACATGTATGTTGATTGTTGAAGTTAATGTTCTTAATTCAACAAAATTCCATCAATTTAACTGGAAAATATCGTTTTTAACAGCATTAATCGAAATGCTATCAATGAGCGCAATAACTCGCCGATGTGAATCTCCAGCTGCCATCATCAGTAGCAGGTGGGTGGTGTAAGTGCATTTGTATTTGGTAGAGAAACACATTAGTGTGATGGAGGTTTGCTAGTAATGGCCCCTATTATAAATGCAGGACAAGCTACAGCCACACTGGGGTCTAACGCCATGATGGCAGGGAAAAGAGGACAAGTGGATGCTGGGATGAAGATTTGTAGCCATGAAATATTAATTGAATAATGTATTGGTTTGGTTGGTAGTAGAAATGTAAAACCTGAAATATGTAAATTATCAAATAAAGATAGCCTAACATGTATTAGTCTTGTAAATAATGCCTAAACTAAGTAATTAAAGAAACAAGTAAAGGTTATTAACCTCTAAAAGCCTCTTAAGGTGAACCATATTGGCTTGAGCCTGCCTTGTGAGAGATCAAATTAAAGCAATCTTGAATTGGAGGATGAGGATGAGGTATGAAAAATTAATGTTCTGAAATGTTTATGCCTGTTGAGCAATTCAGCCTGCATGATTAACTTAACTTTACTTTTACGGGTAGATTTCAAAAAGCCTCACTGCTATAAATGAACACGATATCGGTGTTTATAATTTAACACTTGTGGGAATTAAGTAATGTGTTTTCCTTACACTATGATAGAAAAGGTTACATTGTGTGTCACATTGAAATATTCCATATTATCCTGAAAAATGTAACAATGACACAAAAAAATACAGCAATCAAAAAATGCAGCAAAACAACCAAAAGCCATTTTCTGAACCAGAAGCATGTCGGCACCACATTTGCCTCCCGGCCACATACTGAAGGAGAGACGGAGGCACTGAAAACCGAACAACGTCCAACGCCTCATCATGCTGAATGTTTTAAACCCTCCACTGAAGAGTAAAGTTCAAACACATTTTAGAGGTTAAATATCTATGGAGGGGTTGCTGCTTCTACTTAGCACAGAGGTGGAGTGGTTCTGAATTAGCTGTCTTCATCGTGGTCTTCAGATATTACATTCAGCCCCTCTTTGACTATTGCTGCTGGCTATTACGATTTGGCAGAGAAGACACGGTTTGACACTGATGCTCTACGGGATATACTTCATAGTTATTCTCTCAAATCTTGGACTTATAGTTATGCTGGGACTACGATTTGTAGCGATTAAATATTAACTGAATTAATATGGGTTCTTGTTTAATAAATAATAAAAAAAAGGAGTTTCTTTAGTGAAATAGATATGCAAAATCGCAACTTTGAAAATGGGCAGATGAGCATAACAATTGTGCATTTTGTGATATTGATTGGGGTACTGCAAATGTGGCACCTTCATTCTTTAAATAAAGGCACCAAAAAGGCTCTATTTATTCCCAATAATTGTAAAAAAAAAAAAAAACATGATCGCATGTCTCTTAATGATTTCTAAAGTGTCTTCAATCTGATGACCTCACATGTCAGAGCACCAGAGACCTAAATGAGTCATTGTGGGTTTTTTTCAAGGGTGCTTTTTAAGCTTTTAACCCAAAAAATAACAAGAACATCTAAATAAAATGTAGTACATTTCAAAGTTTACCCTCTTGCCTTCCTGTTAGAATACAAATCAAATCATCTGAAGAGGAAAACGTTCAGCTCTCCATTAGCTTTTCACCAGCAGAAGCTTTGACAGAGATATTGCTGGACACATGTTACCGTCGCTGTCAACACTTGATTTTAATAGCCATGTCATCAGCATGTTGTGAGGTAAATGTGCTTTAGAACATTTCATATTCTGACTCAACATCTCTGCTGTATTCTGGAGATTTTAAGAAGATTTTAGGAGATAAGCAAGCTGTTATTTAAAACAACGCACAGTATGGATACAGCAACATGTCACTTAAAGGACTTCTCTTCATTTTAAGTGGGGCTGTCTTTCTAATTGTTCACCCTCTGTTTTATTTTAACATTATTTTATGCCACAGTGCATGGTGGTGCGGCTCCATTGATGGCTATTTTAGTATAAGATTATAAAAAATGGTTGGTTCACTTCCATCAACACTAAAACGCATCAAAAACCATTTTGCAAGCAGACAATTATAGTCCATACAGTCAAGGTACAAGCAATCAAAGTTAGTTGAGCCAGAAAGCAGAAAGAATATTAATAACCTTATCCGATTACATCATTTTTGGTTAAAGATCTCAAATGTTATAGCAAATTAACTACAGGCTGTATTATAAAAAAAGTTTCACAATGTCATGTGCAGTACAGGGGCTGCAATAATAATACAACACCAGAGAATAAGAGAAGAATAAATGCCATACAAGTACATATACAGCTCCCAATGCAATTTACTATGACTATTTATTTTTGGAGTGAAATAACTCAAAACCTCCTATAGATGGATTGCTATGTAAATGTTATTTACAGGAGTTATGGTTTTTGGTTGTCCCCTTACTGCTCTGCTTCCCTCATGTTGCTCACAATCAGTTAACTCTTTAGTTTTTGGCCAAACGGCTGCTTTAGAATCAGCTGTAATTCGTGTCGAGGTAGCAAAGGTTAGCAGGCTAAAATGCTTAACTCAGGTGGTGAACATTGTTACTATTATTTCCGCTAGACAGACTATGAACATGCTGTAATGTTTGTGATGTTTTTTTAAGCTGTAGCCTACTCATCATGTCTGTATGTCAAGAAAGAGGGATCCTTACTCGTTTTCTTTCCATGAGCTTGTTGATTTGTGATATTGGGCTGAATAGAACTGACTTGAAGTGACCAACATGTTAGCATGCTGATGTTAGCATTCAGTTCAAAACACTGCTTAATTTCAACCTGGCACTGCTGCTAGCTTGTAGAGTATTATGAATATGTTGTGTTAATGTAGAATTATTGTGCACACATTTAATAATGATAAGAGAACACATGTAGAACCTAAAAAGTGGATTTCACTCTAAAGACATTATGATGTTTGGCCACCCAGCTGTTATCTATTTGTCCCACCTATGTGACACAATAATACTCTTTCCAATACATACTTTTATTGTCAACAACAGTGATATTTCTGCACCAAACACAAAAACAGTTGTGTGTATGTTTTACAGACCTGTCTAAGGCAATTATTGATTTTTACTCTGCTGTAAGGCGGAGTGAAGCTCTGCATCCTACATGAGGACATATTTGTGCTTATCTGTTGTGCAGAGACATCTACCATTTCAATAAATTATTAAGCAACACTCGTATTAAAAAGAAAGCCCTTGAGACTCAAGCAAATAATGTGTGTTATTTAAATGTGCTTTCTTGGATATAGCAGCAAATTGCAGGATAGTATTCTTGTTTTCACCAGCTGAGAAAATGAATATGCCTTTTGCAGTTCTCGTGTTACCCTCTGTTGTGCAGTTTAAGCGATTTTCTTGGTATAATTAAGCAGTTAATATTCAAAACAGACCAGATAACAAACAGTCAGCAGAAGTGCGGTGAAAGTAAAGAAGGTCTTATTAAGTCTCAGAGTACCTAACTAACTAAAATCCAATAAGTGGTACATAAATTGCTTTGCAAGAGCATGCAATGTTGATTAATAGGTGAACATGGATGACACATTAATGAGTTACTTAATGTTGGATATGTGCAGCAGATCAAGTTTTAAGTAACACTAATGTGCAGTGTTATGACAGCATATATCTTTCACTGACTTAAAATCTCCTCCGACTCATTTCATTGCTTTGGTAATGCATGTACTGGTGTTTTGTAAAAGCAATATGAGATCATCATAGACAAATAAAATATATAATATTCAGGCTGAAGATGGGAACTATGCAGGGAGTTCTGTGATAGGGTTGTTAGATTTCCTGCCTTAACAGGGGCAACAGGCGATTGAGGGAGCTGTCAATCAAGCAAAGTCTGTGCACACCCACACAGTCCTGGGGTCTTATGAGTTCTTCTTAAAAAGGAGTGAGAAAATATATTTTACTTCTTCCTTGAAAACTAACAGCTGTTCCCTTTACACCAAATGATGATTTACTTGTGCATTTATCATAATAATTTGTTTTATCTTTAGGAGTATAAATACACATTTGACATTGTTACAGTGATGGCAGGCTGTGGCTCAGTGGGTTAGGGTGCTGATCTTCAAATCAGGGGAGAGCAAGTTCGAGTCCCACTGCAGTCAGCATGTTGTTGTGTCCAAGACACTTCACCTCAAATTGCTCCAGTGGGGATTGCCCACAGGACTGAATGTAAGCCACTGGATAAAAGTGTCTAACAAGTGACATGTAATGTAAATGTTCAGTTTTGATGCTTGGACTTTGGCATGTTGGGCATCTTGTGTTTCTGAAAGTAGAAGACACAAGAGCAAAGTAAAACCAAATGCTGAAAAAGGCATTTACAGGCGACCAAAATGTTACAAATGACCTTCATGAACAGAAACCACACTCTGAAAGGGTAGAAGTCGTCAGCAGAC